ATGCTGACTCTGTAAACCGCTTAGAGAGGGCTGAAAGCCCTATGAAGCGGTATATAAGTCTAACTGCTATTGCTACTGCTAAAATAATAAAACAAAACGAATAAAATAACAGACATTAAAAAAAATGGAATGAAGTAAGATAACACAAAACAAACAAAACAAAACCATATGATACGATACGATATACAATAACAATACAACACAGTTGTATCGAGCCCAAAATTTAGGTTGCTAAGTGAGAAAATTGTTAAGTGAGTTTGGCCCCATTTTATATCTTTTCTTCCCATCGTTGTTAAGTGAATCACTGCAGTGGTTAAGTTAGTAACATGGTTGTTAAGCAACTCAACACTTCCCCATTGACTTTGCTTGTCAGAAGGTCCCACAAGGGCACCTCAACCAAGGAGCTAAGAAAGCTGCCTGTGTGCCATTGGTTAAAGGAAAGCTGGAATGGTGATAGACTTAAATGTTTCAAAGGAGGGCAGGCATCCGGACAGAAACCAGGATCCTCACTTGATACCAGGGGAAGAAAAAGCCAAGGATGGGCAGAGCAACCTTTGTTGGGTAAATCACAGCTGGCTGGCTTTGAATAATACATGAGGACCAAGCCAAATCCTTTGATCTCTGACCCACTCGCTGTTCCTCTTGGGATAATCATTTTTTCAATCCACATGGAAGACTTTAAATCTGGCAAGGGGAGAAAATGAATCCACAGAACACAGAACAACAGGGTTGGAAGGGACCTTGGAGGTCTTCTAGTCCAACTCCCTGCTCAAGCAAGAGGCATTGTATCATCATGGATAATCTTTTCTATAGGGACGCAGTGGCTCAGTGGCTAAGACGCTGAGCTTGTCAATCAGAAGGTCGACAGTTCGGCAGTTCAAATCCCTAGTTAGCTCCTAGTTACTTGTCCCAGCTTCTGCCAACCTAGCAGTTTGAAAGCAAGTAAAAATGCAAGTAGAAAAATAGGAATCACCTTCGGTGGGCAGATAACAGCGTTCTGTGCACCTTCGGCATTGAGTGATGCCGGCCACATGATCACGGAGACGTCTTCGGATAGGGCTGGCTCTTTGGCTTTGAAACTGAGATGAGCACTGCCCCCTATAGTCGGCAATCATTAGCACATATGTGTGAGGGGAACCTTTACCTAATATTTTCTTAAAAACCTCCAGCGATGGACCACCTACAATTTCAGGAGGCAAGCCATTCTATTGATTAATTGTTCTCAGTGTCAGGAAATTTTATCTGAATTGTAAGTTTCCATCCATTGCTTCTTATCCTTCCCTCTGGTGTTTGGGAGAACAAGTCAACCCCCTCCTCTTTGTGGCAACTTCTTCAAGTACTATACTGGAACAAGTTACTTCAATCTTCTCATTGTTAGATTAGACATACCTAGTTCCTTCAACTGTTCATCCTACAATTCAGCCTCCAGAGTCCAGACCCCTGATCATCTTTCTTGCTCTTTTCTGCCCTTTTTCTAGAATCTCAACATTTGGGGGGAGGGTATTGTGGACTGCAGGCCACTTCTGCTGATTGCCAAATTCCTGCAGCTTGGCAGTTTAATTCTCACCAGCTGAAGCCTTCCATCCTTCCAAGGTGGGTAAAACGAGGGCCCAGATTGTTGTTTGGGACCAGATGCTGACTCTGTAAACTGCTTAGAGATATCTGTAAAATGCTGTGAAGCAGAATATAAGTCTAAGTACTATTGCTATTGCTGATTGATTAACTCTGCCCACTGCCAGCAGTTCGATTCTGACCGGCTCAAGATTGACTCAGCCTTCCATCCTTCCGAGGTTGGTAAAATGAGGACTCAGATTGCTGGGGAAAAGAGGCTGACTCTGTAAATCACTTAGAGCGGGCTGTAAAAGCACTGTGAAGCGGTATATAAGTCTAAGTGCTATTGCTATTTTTTCCCAGTGTGTCTTCTTCAGTCATCATTCAAAATAATCCAACTCTAAAACCGTGGCAGGGGTTCCCCTCCAGTGCTCGCCTCATCACTCATGCTTGAAATATCGATCCATGGAGAACAGGGGGGGGGGGGATGGGACTCTGCAATGCTGAAAAATGATCCATGACACATTGTTCTTTGTTCAGGCTAGATGCCCAGCAAAGTTCTCAAACTGGTTCTCCTGCTTTCCAATTTCAACAAAAGATGCATGATGTTCCTGCAGCGACTGATTTTTCGCCCATAAGTGATCCAGTGGGAGCTTTTCCATCACCTGCCCCACAGGTGGATCTATCTGCCCACATTCGGTCATTCATTTCTTTCTCTGCCCCCAAAGTTTCACTAGCAGAGGGATTCAATCAAGATCAAGTGAGGTACAAATTCAACTCTATAAAGCCCTAGTAAGACCACACCTAGAGTACTGCATCAAGTTTTGGTCATCACACTATAAAAAAGAGGTTGAGACTCTAGAAAGAGTGCAGAGAAGAGCAACCAAGATGATGAGGGGACTGGAGACTAAAACATGCGAAGAACGGTTGCAGGAACTGGGCCTGGCTAGTCTAGTGAAGAGAAGGACCAGGGAGACATGAGAGCAGTCTTCCAATATTTGAGGGGCTGCCACAAAGAGGAGGATGTCAAGCTATTTTCCAAAGCACTTGAAGGCCAGAGAAGGAACAATGGATGGAAACTGATCAAGGAGTGATTCTACCTGGAAAGAACGAGACATTTCCTGACAGTGAGAACAATCAACCCATGGAACAAAAGTTGCCTTCGGAAATTGTGGAAGCTTCATCACTTGAGACTTTCAAGAAGAGATTGCACTGCCCTCTGTCAGAAAGGGTCTCCTGCAAGGGGGGGGGGTGGACTAGATAACCTATAAGGTCCCTCCAAATCTGTTATTCTGTTCTGTTTCCAGCTCTGCTGTTTTCCATTTGGTGACATTCATTAAAGGTTGAGTTTGGAAAACAAGGTAAGGCAAGAATGGAAGCAGCTAAAGGCAATCCTCGACTTATAACTATTCGAAGTTAACAATGGCATTGGGGGAAAAATGGCTTACAACCAGTCCTTGCGCTTAAAACTATCACAGTATCCTCACAGTCAAGGGATCAACATTTGGGTGCTTAGCAACTGTTGTGTATTGATGACAGTTGCAGCATCTCAAATGTCATGTGACCAACAGTGGCGACCTTCCCAGGTAGCTTCTGACAAGCAAATCCACTTAACAACTAATTGCAACTGCAAAAATGCCAAATGGGAATAACAGAATAACAGAGTTGAAAGGGACCTTGGAGGTCTTCTAGTCCAATCCCCTGCTTAAGCAGGAGACCCTATACCAGGGGTTGGAAACCTTAAACACTCAAAGAGCCACAAAGATCCTATCCGGAAGCCCATCATTTAATTCTGCAGCTGACCGGAAGTCAGGTTCACCCACCATAGAGTCTCCTCCTAGCACGGCATTCTGTGCTAACTGAAAGCCCTATCAATTGTGGAGCCGATCAGTGACAGGGAGCCGCAACAGAGGGATGAAAGAGCCACATGCGGCTCCAGAGCCGTGGATTGCTGGTCCCTGCCCTATACCATTCCAGACAAGTGGCTGTCCAATCTCTTCTTGAAAACCTCCAGTGATGGAGCACTCACAGCTCCTGTTGCACTGGTAAATTGTTTTCCCTGTCAGAAAATTTCTCCTTAATTCCAGGAGTTCTTAGTTCTCCTTTTAGTCCCCCTGGGGGTGACATAGAAGTAGAACCTAAATGCAAGTGAGGTTGCCCTCAAGATACCATTTGTAATCCAGGGGTGTATTTTAAACAATGACAGATGAATAAAAGATGAAAACAAAAATAGCATCTCAGCTGAAAAGAAAAAATAGCAGCTGAAAAAGGGAAAAAAATAGTATTTTGTCTGAACTTCCAAGCATTTATACTCCCAGACTTGGTTTTTAATATTTTAAATCAGTGGCCTGGTTTATGATTATGTCAGCTGTAATCTTTGATTGTAGCCTGGGTTTAGCAGACAGAAATGTGCAATATTTTCATAGGCAAGGATTGATTTTGCCTTTAACGCCATGCCACACCGCAAACGGGAACAGGACCAGCACAGAAACAAAATGTGTTATAGTTTCATTTACATTTAAATTGGGCAAAGAGGTCAAGTGCCATATTTTTTTCTCTCTGTTTCTGGCTTTGATAGAACACTGAATGTAAAAGTTCAGAGGGGCATGGATGAAAAGGCAAAGTAGAGGTAAAGGTTTCCCTTGTCCAGTTGTGTCTTTAACTGCTATGCCATTGTGCCCCATACATAGCTGTTCTGACCCCCGCTTCTCCATCCAGGAACGAAAGCCAAAAGCCACATAACTAAAAAGGTTTCTTTTAATCAGTCCAAGCTNTAATCCTGTTTATACTTATCTCTGTTATCTGATACAGGCTGGACAAAATAAATCAAATTTAAATTAAATTTAAATCATTTACGCACTAGGAAGGCAGAAGTAACCTCCTGGCCTACCTTGTCAGATTGTGGTGGGGTTGTTTAGGAAGCTAAGGGATGGGCAAGGCTTCTAATCCACCCACCCACCCCAAACACCTGCCCTTCAGCTCCCCTGCTGCCAAAGGAGCGGGGTGGGTGAGAGGTCCTGGGGGGAAAGAGCTGGGCTGTTTTAGGGTTCCAGGAGTGAAGGGTTGGCGCCGGACAGTGGTGGGACCCTCTCGCCCCTTCCTCCCGCCGCACCTGAAGACGCGAAACAGCAGGCAGGCCATCAGACAGGCGCTGGCCGCGCAGGCTCCGATGACAGCGGCCTTGAGCGCCGGCAAATCGCGCAGCATCGCCAGGACCGGGTTGCGCTGGGCGCCGCCGCTGTGATTCCCGGCGAAGGGCGGCGGAGGAGGCGGCGGCGGTGGCGAGGCGGGCGAGGCTTTCTGGGGGTCGCCCTGGCTGGGGCCGCTGCCGCCGCTGGCGTCCTTGGCAGGGGCCGGAGGGAGCGAGGTGCGCTGCGGTGCCAGGGCGAGCAAGGCGACGGGCAAGATGGCAAGCAGGAGGCAGGCTCGCTCCGACGGCCGCATGGTGCCCGACAGGGAAGGGGCGCGCGGGGCTCTTGCGCGGGAGAGGATCGCGGGGCGTCTTGCTCGTCCACCTGCCCAACCAGCGCTGCCCGCTTCGGCTCCTGCGCTTCGAGCCGGATCAGCCGAGCGAGCGGCGGGGGAGGAGCTGAGCTGGCAGCGGTGGGGAAGGGAAGGGAAAGGGAAGGGAGGGAGGGAACGGTGGGTAGGCAGCAGCTGGCCCGGGCAGCGGCAGGGAGGCTGGCGGTGACAGCTGCTGCGAAGGGAGCGCCTAACGAGTCTCTGGCCCCGGGCAGGAAAGCCTTTGCGCGTCCAATGAAGGAGGGCGCTTGGAATGGGCGCTCCTGGGGGCTCTGTGGCCTTGGTGGGTTCCTTGCAGAGGCACCAGGCTACCTCTGATGGTGTTGCTTGGTGTGAGTAAGGAGACGCCTGCGAGAAATCAAGCAAGCACAGAAAGCACCAAAGACCCAGTTGGCTGCCTCCTCCTCTTCCCTTCCACCCCAAAACCTCATTCCTTACTAGCACTGATGATGTTACCTAGTGTGGGTAATGAAACGTCTGCAAGAAAACAAGCAAGCTCAGCAAGCACCAAAGACCACACAGTCTTTATTTATTTCTATATTTATTTATAAGAGGAGGTCTTCCTCCTCCTCCTCCTCCTCCTCCTCCTCCTCCTCCTCCTCCCCCCCCAAAATCTTACTCCCTTCTAGCA